TTTAACACAAAGTTCATTTGTCCTTAGTTGACCCTAATGAATGATTCCTTTGCAGTGTATCTTTCTTTTTTCTTCTTTCTAACCTCGTCTCTGGGCTTCTTTCCCTCCAATTCAGATCTCAGTGTCATTTTCCTTAACAGCATTGTAATCTCCAAAGTGAGATAGATCCTATATTAATCAATTCATTGACTAATTATACCTTGATATATAAAAACTTTTCTCATTCACTACACAACTTAAAGCTTTATTTTCATGGCAAAATATGTTCCCTGGTATTATTATGTACTTGTGAAATATGTCTAGAAGGGGAAAAGGTAAAAACAATTTGACAAATCACACATCCATGATTTCTTCCACCAGCCTGAGGCTTTATCCTCAATATCACCTAAGCAAACCCTGTGATAGTGGGCTATTTTCTACCAGGACTGTGCAAAAACTATCAATGAGAACCCTCAGCTGGATTCTGTCTGGTTCAACCTGCTAGTAACTACTTCTTTCCCATCACAGCTTCCATCCAAGTTGTGCATCCATCTCCAAATCCCAGAATCACAATTCAATCTACCATAAGCTACTATCTACCCAAGAATTTCAGGTGTTTAAAATAACTCAGAGACACAATTCTGATCCAGAACCAGTGCTCTTAATATTTGTATAATTCCATACTTGGAAACAGAATTTCCCAATGGGTATTCAGCAAAAATCTGGTTCCATGAAATAAAAATTGTCTTTGTGAAGTAGAGGTAAAACATAAATTGGGAAGCACTCAGCCAAATGAAATCAAACAAGTTTGTTTAGAACAAGACTCACCAGAGCCTTTAATAAACCTATACACTGGGAATTTCTAAGAGATTAACAAGCACTTTTAAACATAGTCCCATTCAAAGAACATCTGTGAAGGTTTAGATTAATATTTAGCAAGTCACACTCTCAGCCCTCATTATGGTGACATGTACTTCTCAACCCTTCTGATATTGGTCTTAATAATTTGACCTGTTTTGGCCAATGGAGTGCTAGAGGATATGATTGAAGTTTGGGCCTCAATACTTTTGTATCAATTAGTTTCCTTCTTGAACTTTGTCTTTGCCATGAAAAGCCATCTTCATTAGCCATCTGTCTCAGAATGATGGGAATTGCATGAGAAAACCCAATTACAACCAGTAGCATGAAAACCAGCCTACATGACCCACAACCTTGAAGTCAAGTCACCCAAGGAGCCCCACCTAGACAAGTCCTCTTGATAGGTATCTTTTTCATTATTCTGTTGTATTTTTCCACCATAGACACTATTTTATTTTTTCCTTTTCTATTTAAAAAAGTTAAGACTTATTCCAGCTCCAGGTTTTCAGTAACAGGAGTGAGTAAAGATATTCTTGGTCCCCACACAGTGTCCATTGGTGTAGGCAGTAACTACTTTTCTCAAACCTGTAACTGAAGAGTGGATCCACTGGTACAGTTGAACTGCAGACAAATGAGCAAGAGAATGAACATGGATGGCTTAGAAACCACTTAGGCATTGAGACTGACATGCAGCAAAAGCTGACTAAATACATCTCACTCAAGTGAACTTCCATGCAAAAAAGGATGGGAAAATTAATGCTAGATGCCTTCAAATTCCCTCTTCTTACCAACCCACCTTCATTCTTCAGTGTTCAGCAAAATTAGAGTGCTTTTTAGCTTGGACATATATGCAGTTTTCATTGTGATTTCCATATTTATAATTCTACACAACAGACCTGAAGCTTGTGAACTGAGATGACAGCCCCATTATCCAACTCAACGTGGAACTTGCAGGGCTAATAATTGACAGAGCTGTCATTGGGATCCACATCTGAATCTAAGCCCTGGTGATTTTCCTTGAAACTCTACTCCCCTTAATTCTTATAAGAGGGGCTTCATGTCTTTCTGTGTCTTTAATTCCAAATTTTTTACCTTCAGATCTGTCTGATTTGGAAAGACATCGGGTAATTAGAGAATGATTTCAAAACCAACCTCCAGTTGAATAAGAGTGCAGCTTGCATGTTTTGTGGCTTCCATTTATTTAGTTGAATAAAAATAGAAATCCAATGTCCTATATCCAAAATGATCATAGTAACTTTAAAAGCTACTCTAAAGAGACGAAGAGCTGCAGGAAATGACTAAATGGCACTGAAAGCAGTACTCTGCTCTTCAAAAGTTCAAAAATTAGACAATATGGGTGGCAGAAAGCTGGGATCTGAAGGAACCAGGAAATGGCCCTGAACAAATCCCAGAAGTTGTAATACAGACAAGTTATATGCACAAGTGCTGAAACCAACAGCTGAGTATGTTTATTAAACACTCATTGAACCCATCTGAGGTCAGGAGAGCTCTTTCCTCATGGCCTTGCTCTTGTGTGTAACACCTGCTGTTGACCAGGTGGCCCCAGACACAGTAGGCACTGCCTGGGTATTGCAAGGCTCCTGACACAGTGCCCTCTGCGAGGCAGTGAGGCTCCATGATTCTATCCACCAAAAAGATTTTACTGATACAGTACTGCCTTCCACTTCTCATAGGAGGGGAAATAGTACTGAATTTCTGAAGGGTACTTTGGCCTTTGAATTCTTTCATGTATTCATTATTGGATAAAGAGTGCCCCTCTAGGGCTGGGGTGTAGCTCAGTGGTAGAGTGCTCGCCTTGCATGTGGAAGGCACTGGGTTCGATCCTCAACACCACATATAAATAAAATAAAGGTATTGTGTCCATCTACAATTAAAAAAAATTAAAAAGAGTGCCCCTCTATGCCAGGCATCCTTGCAGGGGCTGTAGCTGCTATAATGAACAAAGCTGACAAAACTCTCCACCATTATGGAGCTGACATTCTTGTGGGTAGAGGTATAAGCTACTCCGGTGGAGAAAAATGAAAGGTAATTAATAAGCACATTCTGTGGAAACCACTTAAGCATTAATGTGAATGGGATGGGTTAAAATTTTAAATAAGGTGATCAGGGAAGATCTCATTGATAAGTTGACATTTCTCCTAAAATCATGTTTTAAACTTTACAGCTACAGAAGAAGAAGAAGGAGAAAGAGAAGGAGAATGAGAAGAAGAGAAAGAAGAAGGGAAGAAGAAGAAGAAGAAG